CCTTAGCCTGCACCTCCCCCGTTGGTTTCTGGGGCTCTGGGTCTGCCCACCTCTCTGTGTCCCAGTTTTTTCTCTTTGAAGATGACTATTTTGAGCCCCTCCTGGACAGAGCTAGGAACAGCCATTTCCTTCCCTGCGGCTACAATGCCCACCTGACAACCTCCACCTCTGACCTGCTTAGGGAAGGAGGGTTAGGGAAGGACGGAACCTAAGCATCTGGGAACTGGGCAGTGGTGGGTGACACGGAGGCGGGGGTGCTGCAGGAACCTCTGACCCTGGCGGGTATACCAGACGTGGCAGGGAGCTTGCTGGAGGTAGGGTGGGCAGGTTCCTGGGGCAGGGCAGCTAAGAGAGTAGCAGGGTCAGGGAGAGCTCGGATGTCCCCATACTTTCTGAAGGCAAAACAGTAGAGTTTTTGTTTGTTTGCTTTTTTTTTCTTTCTCTTTCACCCCTGATGCCAAGACTCATTCCACTTGCTTCTCCTATTTTTGCAAAAAAGAAAAAAGAAAACCAAGGAAGAGGACAGGTTGGTTGGAAATATCTGTGTCTAGGAGGGAAAGGCAATGGAGGGGGTACACTGAATCAGGACTCAAGAGACCCTGGTTCAAGCTGGCCTCCGTGCTCCATGGGTGACCTTGGTCCAAAATGCTTCTTCCTGTTGGGTCTCAACTTCTTTTCTCATCTGTAAAGCGTGAGAGGGCCCACCTGTCTCCCAAGTTTGCCGTGAGCCCATATGTTTCCAAAGAGTTTTGTAAAGGGGAATGCAAGGTGCAACCTTTAAAAAAAAAAAAAGGTTTTATTTATTTATTTTTAGGGAGAGGGGAAGGGAGGGAGAGAAACATCGCTATCTTGCATGCCCCCAACCAGGGACCTTGGGACCTGGCCTCCAACTCAGGCACCTTGCTTTGCCCAAGGACACCCAACCCACTGAGCCATGCAGGTCAGGGCTGTGAGGCGCCATCTTTCCGACTGCAAAGGCAGATGGGCTCCCTTCCTCGCAAGGGTAAAGGCTAGCTCATGGGGGAGGGCAGGTGGGGGGTGCTTTGTAGGAATTAGGAAAGGTACCTCCTCTGGAGGGAGAGTATTCAGCTGGGGTTGGCCCTTGGGGTCTTTATTACGAGGATTAGAAGAAGACACACTTTCCCCCAGGTGCATCAGCCCTGCACCTTTGGGCAAGTACAATGTGGGCTAGGTTCCACGGCCCATCTACCCTCAGGTGAATGTTCTTGTGGTGCAGGACACACCTGCACCTGGCAACCCATCTCAGCAGACACAGAGCTACACACACTCCCGGGATATTGCCTATAGAAGCCCACATCCTAGGCTGTTGCCAGCTCACTCTCTCTCTTGCTTTGTCTCCACGTCAGGGCCTTTGGGTATTCTGTCCCTGAAGCCTGTGCTTACTAGAAGCATGATGGAATCCCACCATCAGAGAGTGACTCCCTGGAGTTAACCAGTGCCTTCACCAGGCCCCCAGGGGTAGGAGTACTGGGTCCCTACCTAACCCTTTATGTTAAGAACTTGATCAGATTGCTTTCTCAAGGCCAAGAGCAGAAGCATCTACACACTTGGGTGTGCACACCTGTTATCTCAGAGCATCCTTAACAGTAAAGCTTGGAGGGAAGTCTCCTTCCCATGCCCAGACAAGTTAAGGAACTGGCCTAAGGTTTCACAGCTTGTTCGTGGTGGAGCCAGGACCCAAGCCTAGGTCCGGCTCTCTGTCCTCTTCACTCCATCACTGAGGAATAAAGCTGCTGACCTCACAGTCTTGTCAAAGCCCTGCCGGGATTGTTGCACTCCCTCTCTGTTCCCAGCAGCTCCTGGCTCCCTCCTTCTACTTGGGGGGCAGTCACTTTCACTTCCTCTGATTTCATGGGAGCAAGAAGCTGCCTCAAAGCTCAACTATTCTGGCCTCTTTAGTGCAAAAAGGGCCCCTGGGGAGTCCAGAGGGCCAGTGTAGAAGCTGACCCTTGAATGGGTCCAAGGCTAGTTCCATTCCTAGATGGGGGCTGAAACGGTGGCCACCATGGAGGACATCAGTACAGCAAGCTAGTCCCTGAGTGAGAGGCAAGCCAAGGACCACAGAATAGGGCCACAGCCTCCAGGTTGCTGCATTTGCAACAACCTGAAGGCTGAAGGAAACTCCGAGACCCTGCCCCTGGCCACCAGGAACCAACCTTTGTGTTCCCAGAGCCCCTGGATGCCAAGGGGAAGAGATGGGGTAAACCCAGCAGACAGGGCTATAGGGCCCTACAGAGAGAGCATTTCTGCTTGTATCTGTGTGATGTGTTCGAGCTTTCATCTGAGGAAGGGGTCTGGTGTTTACAAAAAAAAATTTTTTTGAAGAGTTACTGGTCTATCTAATGGTTCCCAAAGTGTAGTCCTGGATCAGCAACATCTGCATTACCCAGGAATTTGTTAGAAATGCAAACTCTAAGGCTGCCTCCTAGACCTGCTAAGTGGAAACTCTGAAGGCGAGCCCAACAGTGTGTTTCAACAAGCTCTCCAGGTAACACTGAGGACTGCCTAAGTGTGTGAATCACTGTTTTAGTCCAAGGGTATAGGAAACAAAGACTGTCGTGGATCAAGGGCAGGGCTGGGAAGAGAATCACTAGTCTCCTCGTCTGGGAGCTCCAGGAATTTGCAGGTGGCCCCCCTTTCAACCCTCCTCTCCTTCCCCTTTTTGCCTCCCGTCCCAGGGGCCATGCTGCCATTCCTGCTGGGCCTGTTGAGCCCAGTGGCCTGTTGGGCACTGGGCCCGGCTCCCGGCTCCACGGAGCTGCGCTCGGCCTTCTCCGCAGCACGCACCACTCCTCTGGAGGGCACGTCGGAGATGGCGGTGACCTTCGATAAGGTGTACGTGAACATCGGCGGCGACTTCGACGCGGCCACGGGCCAGTTCCGCTGCCGCGTGCCCGGCGCCTACTTCTTCTCCTTCACGGCTGGCAAGGCTCCGCACAAGAGCCTGTCAGTGATGCTGGTGCGCAACCGCGACGAGGTGCAGGCGCTGGCCTTCGACGAGCAGCGGCGGCCTGGGGCGCGGCACGCCGCCAGCCAGAGCGCCATGCTCCAGCTCGACTACGGCGACACGGTGTGGCTGCGGCTGCACGGCGCCCCGCAGTATGCGCTGGGCGCCCCCGGCGCCACCTTCAGCGGCTACCTGGTGTACGCGGACGCCGACGCGCCTGCGCGCGGCCCGCCGGCGCCCCCGGAGCCGCGCTCGGCCTTCTCGGCGGCGCGCACGCGCAGCCTGGTGGGCTCCGACGCTGGCCAGGCCCCGCGACACCGGCCGCTCGCCTTCGACACCGAGCTGGTCAACATCGGTGGCGACTTCGACGCGGCGGCTGGCGTGTTCCGCTGCCGCCTGCCCGGCGCCTACTTCTTCTCCTTCACGCTGGGCAAGCTGCCGCGCAAGACGCTGTCGGTGAAGCTGATGAAAAACCGCGACGAGGTGCAGGCCATGATTTACGACGATGGCGCGTCGCGGCGCCGCGAGATGCAGAGCCAGAGCGTGATGCTGGCGCTGCAGCGCGGCGACGCCGTGTGGCTGCTCAGCCACGACCACGACGGCTACGGCGCCTACAGCAACCACGGCAAGTACATTACCTTCTCCGGCTTCCTGGTGTACCCCGACCTCGACCCCGCCAGCTCGCCCGGCCTCGGGCCCCTGGAGCTCTGAGCTCCCACCCAGGGAGGAGCCCGAGGGCGTGCATGCCGGGCCAGCCGGGCTGTGGCCGACCCCTCCGCCGGCGTGAGCATGATGGCCCGCCCAGGGCGGCTGGACTCTGCCAATAAAGTGGGCCTGCGCCGGCGCCTGTGTTCCTGGGGTCCTGTGCTCTGTCTTGATTGCCAGTTTTGTCTTGGGGCTGTCGAGAGACACTGACTACGGGGCGCGGGGTGAGGGTTGGAGGTCAAAGGGCAAAATTCGGTCAGGCCCTGGGAGGGTGAGGAGATGGGAATTCGAGTGAAGCCTCCACGCCTAACCTGTTGTGGGCCCTCCATTCATGTCCTTTTCCAGTCAATTCCTCTGCCTGACTCCTCCCCGCTGACCTTCAATGGTGTTCTTAGGGCCCACTGATGGCTGATTCCTCTCTGTGACAAAGGACAACACCCTCCTACCTCTCGGAGGTATGGGATTTAGGGAAACAGCACGTTGCTTCTTCTAGCAGGGCGCGTGAATGGGGCGAGCAGGCAGCACCTGGTCCCCCCAGCTCCTGCCCTCCTAGGACAGGCAGGGAGAGTGATTTGCTCAGGTGGGGGGTGAAACAGCTTACTCTGACATGGAAGGAGGCAGAAGGCCAGAACAGAACATTTTATAGGGTGAGCCAGACAGAGTCAGGGTGTATGCCAGCCAGCCTCCACTTGTCTCTCGCAATCAGTCCCCCACCAGCCCCATTCCTTCCTCTGAGAGGTGTTCATCTGAGCCTCGAAGAGATGGACCAAAAAACATCCCTGCCCCGCCATATGTATTTCCCCGCCTGCTTCCCTTCACGCACCCCACAGACCAAATTAAAAATGTCCAGTCTATTCTTCCAGCCCAAAGAGGGAATTCTGAGGTTCAGGGGCCCCACAGCAGAGGTTGGGCTCAAAGGGGTGTCCAAATTAGGACTGGGTGCTGGGCTCCTGGAAGGCTTCTGCTCTCGTGGACTGCCGGGGTGGGGCTTGGAGGGTCTGACCTGCCGTACTCAGGGTCAGCTTCCCTTTCAGCATCTTAAACACACTTCTCAGTCCCGACCCCAACACACACACACACACACACACATACTGCCTGCAAGTCCTGCCTTTAACTTGGTACCTGCCGCCCAGGGCCCAGGGCCCAGGCTCTTAGTCTTCAAGACCCAGGGAGGATGAAGAGGGAGAAGTAAATGGGGGTCTGGGGTGCAAGCCAAGCCCAGAGACCTGAACACAGGGGGAAGAACCAGATGCCAAATGGAAGTCCCTGCCCAGGATGGGTCTGGCTTGGAGGTGGGGATTGGGGGGCTGGCAGGGGAAAGGGGAGGGTCAGGGAAAGGGGTCAAGGATTGAGGCCCAGGGCCCCAAAGAAGGAGGCTGGTCGTGAGGGCAGAAGCCTTTGCACAGGTCCCAGAGTGTCTCCTGTGCCAGGAGGGCAAAGACCTGTGCCCAGCGAGCCCTCTCCTCAGCCTCCAGAGCCTTGTGGAGCCGGTAGACACAGGATAGGCCTGTGAGGAGCAGATTTTCAAAGTCCCAAGGGCTTAGAGGAGGCCCCGTGCGCAGGTCCTGGAACTGCCGCAGCCGCTGCTCAGCACCCTGCCAGTCACTGGGCACGTGGCGCTGCAGGAGGAGCCTGAGTCGGCGGCCTGGATGTGTGGATGCCAGTTCCTCATCCTGGAGGTGCAGCTGCCCCATGACATCCAGCTCCAGCCCAGCCCAGAGCAGCTGCAAAGGGAGCCATGTAAGGAGTGGGCTGGGGTCTGGGGAACAGGGCAGGGAGCAAGAGTGGGCCAGCAGGGTATAAGCAAGCAGTAGGACCCAAGCTGGGTTGCCCCCCTCCCCCAGGCCCAACTTGAGATATCCCCCTTCCCGACCCTGAGTTCGGGGACCTCTGGATGCTTCCACCCCCCACGCCCCGGGCTGGAGGAAAGACCTCAAACATCACTTCCGGGGCCTCTGGCTCCTGCAGGCCACCTCCCACGCTGCTGCTGTTCGTGGGCTGCCCTGGGGCAGCAGAGAGAAGTCAGGCCCCTGCCAAGCTTCACCCTAAATACCCCAGCCTCCCAGAAGTGCCCCTCAGCTGCCTGGTAAGGGTGCCTAGAAGTTCTTCTAGCTGCAAAAGTGCAGGAATGCCATTCCATGCCTTCCTTTCCCTACACACACATGCACATCAACACTTACTGACCCAGGCATAGGTCTTGTGATTCCAAGATCATCATCCCAAACCCAGATACCTCCTTAGCAAATGTCCAGGACTCCTTGAACTTGTACAGTTCCCTTGGCCAAGAGCTCCAGGCCAATGGGTCACAAGACACTTGACTTCCTACTTCCCCTCCCTATCATCATCTGGGGACAGTGTAATCTAAAACAGTGCCAGTGACCTTCCTCAAAGATTGAGGACCCCTTTGAGAAGAACCCACTCTTTCCTTACTCCTCAGTAGTAATCACATGCAAAGTAGGATGTCTGGTGCAGCTTCCTTCATCCCACCCCAGGGTTCACCTGGCCCTTGGCATAATTGTTCCAAGCCCAGGGGAGATTAAGGGGGTGCTGCTTGGGGCATCATCTGGAATAAGCCCAGGCCCAACTCTGTCCAGGGCCAGCACTGAGGGCAGCTAGGGCTATGTCCCTTCACTTCACCTAACTGGTCCAGTTCTGGGGGTGAAGCCCACGCCATTAGCCCCCATAGCACAGGTCAGCCTGGAACAGACCATGCCCAGTTTCTAGGCTCAGACACAACCAACTCTAACTATTAGCCAGCAGCCTTCCTCGGCTCCCATCCACCCGACCCTGAAGCCCTGGTACCTGCGCCGTGCTGGGTTGTCGTCATCCCAGGGAAGAGGACAGTGGCTACCATCAGCCAAGCCAGGAACCGCATTTTCCCCGCCATGCCCCACCACATCCTCTGAGTCTTACTCTCCCCAGCTGCTCTCTGCTCCTGTACCCGCCTGCCGCACACCATGGCTCCAACTTTCCACTGCAGGCTGCTCAGGCGTTCCCTGCTTTGCGTGTCAGTCGTCAACACTGAACAGGGAGGGACTGGCTCTGGCTTCCCAGGGGCTCTTTCCATCCTGTGGAAACGTGGAATCTTTGGCTGTTGGCAGGAGCCTGGCTCCCTGCCTGTCAGGCCCTCAGCCTGTTCCCCAGATGGGCAGGATGCTTGGTTAATAGAAAAAAGGTGTTTTGTAGCAAACAGTGCGCTTGGCCCCCCCAAAAGGTAGGAAAGACCCCAGGCAGTAATACTACCTTACCGTCTGTCCTCACACCCAAAACATCCTGCAGCTGAGCCAGCTCCTGACGCCCAGTCCAGCTCATACTCCAGGGAGCCCCTCAGCAGCCAGAAACATGAGCTGCAAAGCCTAGTCCTTCAAACGCACGGTGGACTGACTGGGCAGCCCCACAGGCTTCCACCTCAGGCACTTGGCCAGACTGGCGGGACCCACCCTGGCCCAGCTGGAGCAGGCAGTGCTGTCTCCCTGGAAGACAGACTGCAGCGCCTGAGTTTCTTTGGTCCCAGCCCTGGGACCTCCTTTGCTTGTTTACAACATTCTTGGCTCAGGCCCGAGTGCAGGAAGATTCCCTTAGCCCAGGCGTGATGGGCTGTCAGGTTGCAGGGAGCAGGATGCAGAGTTCAAGACTCAAAAACGAGCTGCGGCTCTTCCTGACTCTGGCTGTCGACTTGTGGAGGGAGCCCCATGGATGTTCGGATGGAGTGAGCGTGGGCAGGGGTCACCCCGGACCCACTGGCTACCACAGGGGCTTTCAACACTTGTTGAGACCCTTCCAGTCCTCAGGAGAGGCCATGCCACACCCATCCTGAGCCCTGTACTCTGTGGGAACTTTTCCATTTCAACTCCAGAACCCCTCTTTCAGAAATGCACCCAGGCCTGCAGGTCACCATGTCTGCACCTGCACTACTTAGTCCATGCAAACAGACTCTGGTTTGGTAGTCTCTCTCTCAGGGAAGAGGGAACCCCCGCCCGTATCTTCCCCCTCCTGAATCAAAGCTGCAGGAGGATCAGCACACAAGGAGTGGTGAGTCTCAGCAGGGTTTTATTTACAGACAGTTACAGATAAGATGCTTTCTAGGATCCATGTGCCTTCCCTGGAGCTACTTGGTTTCCGGTTTCTTGTCTCCGGCTTCAAGCTTGAGACTCTCAGGGGGCTGGCGATAGGCAGGGAAAGCCTCCCACGGGCTGTTCAGGTCAAACTTGCGGAACTCTTGGGCCAGCTCCACCGGCTCAGCTACCACCCGCTTCACCTCGTCGTCATAGCGTAACTGCAGAAGAAGAAGACAGTTTTGTGCATAAAGGAAGGCCTTGTTACAGTGACCAGCGCACTCTCCCATGGCCTTGGGGGGCTTCCCAGCCCCTTTACTTCTCTGCTCTGGAGTGCTGTCCTAGCCTGACTCGAGTCTCCATCCACAACTCCGTTACCTCTCAGCCACAGTCCAAAACGGCTTCTCCCTCACACCCGGCCACCACCCGGTCAGGCTCCCCTGCGACCGTAGGTATCATCGTGAGCTCTGAGCTCCTTCTCCAGCAGAACCGAATCCGCTCACCCAACCACACGCTTTATAAGGTACCGTGCAGGATCAGAGAGCAAGGCAGTGGCTGAAGAGAGTACACCTAAACTGGCAGGCACCAAGTTCAGGTCCTGTGGCCTTGGGAATAGATGCAAGGCAGTGAATTTTGGCATGTTTTTTCTTTCTTTCTTTTAAAATTAATTTTAGAGAGAGAGATGAAGAGGCATGGGGAGAAATATCAATTTGTTGTTCTACTTGTTTATGCACTCACTGGTTGGCTGTTGTATGGGCCCTGACTGGGGGTCGAACCTGCAACCTTGTTGTATTGGGATGATGCTCTAACCAACTGAGCTACTCTGCCAGGGCTATGGCTGTTCTTGTTATTGGAGGATCAGCTGGATGAGGTAAAAACAACCAGGAACTGGTGTGAAGAGGCAATCCAGATCAGGGGGACGGCAGGGAGGTCAGAAAGGGAGAGGAGAGGGAAGGAACGCTGACCGGAAGTAGCTTGAGAAGAACACAGGAGCATCTGCACCCTGAAGGGAAGGGTCGGACTGCCGCTGTCTCAGTGTTTCTAGAGAATTTGTTTCTCTGCGGCAGAATCGCCATGTGAATGCACACAACAGACCATCTCCCTGCTAGTAAACAACCCGCTGCACGCGGTGGTCAAGTAAAACACAGAAACCCTTTAAAAAGGCCCTTACAGCCATGTGCTACTGGTCCTGCCTCTGGCCATGCTCAAGACTGTCTTCCCTGTCAGCTTCCTTCTCAGCAGCCCAGGGCAGGGTGTCCAGATCTTGGGGACAGGCCGAGTGTGTCCTCAAGGCTGCCCTGGTCATTAAAGTGATCACCACAATAATGGCTAAACTCAACTGAGCATTCCTAATGCACTGGGCATTACACGCACACCACTTGGCACACTGCAGATCTTAACAGGTTAAGTACTATGCCCATTTCGAAGATGAGAAAATTGTGTCATAGAGAAATTACACACTTTGCCCCAGATTTCAAAACTGGATGTAGGATTTGAATCCAGAGCCTAGGCTTTTAAACCACTACAATCCATATTCCCTGCCACGCCCAGGATCCCCTAGATCCCCTCAGCCCCTCCCTGAAGCTGCTGCTGCCACAGTTCCAAGGCTCCTACCTCAACGTAGCCAGACAGGGGGAAGTCCTTCCGGAAAGGGTGGCCCTCGAAGCCATAGTCTGTCAGGATCCTTCTTAGGTCAGGGTGGTTAGCAAAGAAGACTCCAAACATGTCCCAGATCTAGAAAACAGAGGCCTTCAGGCAACCAGTCCACCGTGGCCAACACGGGTTGGGCATGACACCTCGGGCCCAGAGGCCGCATCCACCATGTCCAGTAACTCACCTCCCTCTCATACCAGTTGGCTGCCTTGTGCACAGAGACACTGGACTCAATGGGCGTCAGCTCGTCTGTGTAGGTCTTCACGCGGATCCGGGAGTTGAAGCGCAGAGAGAGCAGGTTGTACACAATCTAGGGAGAACAGAGGGAATGGAGGACCAAGATGGCCGCAGGCAGAAGGGTATGCGGCGGGGTCCCTGAGGGGGTACATCACGGATGAGGTCACGAAGTGAATTAGGGCTCTGCCCAATGAACCCAACTTCTATCTGGAAGCTCAAAACTTCAACGCTGCAAAGGCTTCAGCCGTGCTGATGTGCAGCAAGGGCGTCAGCATGCTTGTCTTTGTTCACCCTGTGCCCTTTGCCTGGCATGTCTCCCGGACCCGCCTCCCCCCACCCCAGGCCTCATTGGGCGAATTCCTAGTGTCCTGGTTGTCCATTAAGACTCAGCACAAACATTCCCTCTCCCTTCAGAGAAGCCTCGCAGACAGGGCTGAGTGGCCCTCCTGCATTCTTACGGCATATCTCTAACGCCCCATGTGTTTCATGTTATTACAGTAAGCTGTTTATGTGTCTTCTGCCCTCACTAGAGTGTGGGGGACTCCTGGGGCGCAGGTATCGGGTGTTACTTCTCTCTCTATCCCAGGACCTGGCAAACAGTGTATGATCGATAATATCACCAGCTAAACATATCGAGAACCTGTGTGCTAACAATCTACCTGTACTCTCTCCTTCAGTCCTCACAGCCACCCTGCAAGGTAGGGACAATTTCATACTCACTCCGCACGTAAGAAAACTAAAACGCAGAGAGATTAAACAAAACGTTGGAAGTCACACAGCCTGTGGGTGGCAGAGTCGTGATTCGGACTTGAGCATGTCTGATTCTGAGCCCCCAGTTTTACTGCTCTGTCAAACCGTCTGACTCAAACTGAAACTAAGAAGGCTACAGTTCCTACTGGTAGCTGTCCCCCTGCAAGTGCTCTGTCCCCTGTCCTTCCTTTATGCCATAAACCTTCTCAAATCTCCTGACCTCAAAACGGTTCTGCCGGGTTGGGATGTCCACTGCCGTCAAGTCAGCCAAGGATTTGAACTGTGCGTTGGTGTGATCCCTGAGGAAAGTCAGCACTGGAATGACTCCGTCGGGATGGATACAGATTTCCAACTCATTGAAGCAGGACACCTGCAGACGTGGAGCAGGAGGGGAGAGACAACGAGGAGCTACCAAGGGAACAGCGAACTTCAGCGGTTCTCCTGACATAAGGCAGGGAAAGAGGCCCAAGTTGGGATGGGGAATCTGTGGCTTCTTTGGTACTGGGCTGCCCACTCCCACGTGACCAGAGAATACAGTTCTTTCTTGACCCCGACCAAATAACAACAGTAGTGAATATTACCTGAGCTTGTTGGACATACTTAGGCAGGATTTCAGCCACATACTCTCCAAAAGCTGAGAGCTGTTTGTGGACCACGTCATTCCGCGGTCTGACAGTGGCTAGAAGGAAAAGGCATATTTCACAAAGGAATAGCAAAGGCAGCAGCCAGCCCTGCATCCAGTCTGGGCTTATAAGGGGCTCCCAGGAGAACGTTGAGAAAGGTAAGGGTGGAGGGTTCCCCTTCCAGGAAATAGGAAGCGATGAAAATTTAGGGGAAATGCCACCTACACAGTCCGAAAGGACTTTCATTCCTGAAGCTGGCGTGTTCGTTTCTTCTCAAAAGTACTCCATTCCTTCCTTCACATTGTCTGCATTTCTGCTAATGCATCATATGTCTCAGCTCTTATCAGACTAGGAGCTCTTTACGAGTGGGAACAACAACATTCCCTTCTGTGTATCTACTTAGCACAGGGCTTGGAGCAAGCTCCTGGCAGAAGAACTTTAGGTCTTAAGAGCCCTCATGGATTATCTAGTTGAAACTTCTTTACTTTTAAACACATGAAGATACTGCGGCCCAAAAAGGAGGGAACGCTAGGTCTCCTGCCTCCCGGTTGGATTAGGTCGACTGTGACATATTTCTACACAAGGACTCATGCAACCCTAAATCACTGAGCGCCTGCACATCATTGATTGCAGGGTAATGGTTCCATGTTCTCTGCCCCTGGCAGCAGGCCAGTTTGCTCAGTCACTCACTAGTACCCTAACCCTGAGGGTGTTATTTCTTTGTAGTTTCCTGATC